TTTTTAACGACCTGATGAAGAAGAAAATAATTATCATCAAAAGCGCTTGTTGGTCTAGCAACATTTGTTTGTAATTTAATGCCTGTATGATAAACTTTTCTCATATTAAATGGTCAGCATGCTGTCCACTTCTGTATTATCATATAAATAACCAAGTACATTTAAAAATCACTATTATGATGTCACCAGTTGTCCTGCAGTACTTACTGTAGTAATCGTGTGTTCCGCCAAATTTTTAAATTATTAAAAGTGTACCGTAACAAAAAAAAGGTTGAGAATCACTGGTCTAGAAGTAGGCAGTTATTCCACCTACTTCCTGACAAGTAAAATTAAATGATGATTATTTATATTACAACAAATTTATTTTCAGTAAAATATTAAAAATTTATTCATTAAAACTTCATAAAAAATTTATTCTAGTAGCACACAAATTACTGTATTCAAAGTTGCAATCTCCCATAAGTTAATTAATTTCTCAAATAACCTTCAGTAGATTACAGGTAACTGTACCTAACCCAACTCTGAAATAAAATAACTTAAATTAGAAAACCTTCATACACGAATACTGGAACACATATAAATTAACACAAAAAACCTTAACAGTCCAGTACTAAATATTTAATAGAAAACAAAAGTTTTCGACTGTATTTTTGGCTTTTTCAAGTTTAAAAAACAAGTGAGATTTGAACAAGCGAATCTCACTGGTTTTTTAAACTTGAAGAAGACCAAAAGTATGGTCGAAAACGTTTCTTTTCTATTAAATATTTAGTACTGGACTGTTAAGGTTTTCTGAAATAAAACTTGTTTAGTTAAACAATAAAATTATTATTATTTGATTTGTGTTATAGCTAAGCTGCTTTTGCATGTATTGAATACTTATGTAAAATATTTTAATGGTAAATGATTTGTTTTAAACTCCTCTGATAAATAAAGTGTGTATTTTTAATTTTACTTCTTATAAACTAGAATATAGTAAAAAAATTTGGTGTCAAATGCCAAAGGCATGCAATGGTTTAAATACACTAAATATTTTTTCCTAATTTTCCTGTGTTGAAATGGAAGCACAACTCATCTATATATATCAATATAAAAATGAATGTTTGTC